GGAGGAGGAGGAGGAGGAGGAGGAGGAAGTGCACCCTGCTGCTGTCCTTGACTGCCTACTATTTGATATCGATGTTTCGTATCAATATTCCCTATCGATATTATATATCATTATTCCATATCAATATTCTGCATCAATGTTTCGCATCGATTGCTCGTGTGTGTGTGTGTGTCGTATGAAGTTCAACTTGTCCTTGACTGCTGTGCACCAGAGGGCGATAATCACGTCGCGAGGAAGGAGTACGATCACAGCCTGAAGAAGTACCAGTGTCTCGTCACAAAGCAAGAGCAGCTGCTGAGAGGTAGGTAGAGTAACAGCGGTCATTAGTTGCGCTGCGGTACAGGGGGGATCGTCGTCGGGAAACGTCGGGGACGATTACGGAGCATCATAACAACTGTCCCACCGAATCACGCACGTTTTCTTGTTAGTCGCGGTCGAAGTCCCGCCGAAATTTTCGACAAATGCTAGCTTAGTTTGCGAGCGATGGCTCGTTTGTTGCGTGCACGCACGCTCTCGTTTGTTGCATCATTATTAATTTTAATTCTCTTATTTCATGCGCGAACGTTCTCTTGTTTAGTCGCCTTCTACATCCTGCTCAACCTTGCGGAGGACATCAAACTGGAGATGAAGATGGTGAACAAGAATGTCGTCGGGATGCTGGTGAAGTCGTTGGAGAGAGATGGAGTGGAGCTGCTGCTGCTTGCCGTCACCTTCCTCAAGAAGCTGTCCACATCGTTGGTTCATTAATGAGATCGCATCGTTGCAGCATCCGACTGAAGAGCCTCAACTCGACGACTAATGTGTCGGCTCTCGCTCGTGAGGTTGTCGACAAGTGCAAGGGTCTCATCCACCCGGCGAAGATCGGCGAGGTCGAACAGCTGCTCTTTTATCTGCAGAATCGCCGTGACACGCCACCAGGCAGCGCTCATCAGAAAGGTGCGGTCGGTGGGGGCGGAGGGTGGCGGGCGAGGCTGCGAATTTGGCTTCAGGATTTCCTCAAGAGGGGTGTGACGACAGTGGCCTTTGTTTTCGCGGGCGTTTGTTCCGTAGAGAATCGATCGCTATCGTGTGTTCAAGTTTATGATCAAGTTATCAGCACAAGACGTCGCGGTGCTGCAGGAAAACCCCGCTTCAGAAGGGGGAGAAAAATTCCCAAAAAAATCAAAAAATATTAAAAAATCTCACGCGACGGGATAAAAAACACCTGATTCGTTCCCCCCAAAAAAATTTCTGTTTCATTCGACACGCCGACCACAGATGGCGGCACCTTTGGCGCTCCGCACCACCGCTGACCCCCACGTTCGCTTGCAGACGGCGACCTGCGACGCTCTGAGCTTGGCGAGCGGATCCGCGACGACCCGGACTTCTTCTCGGACAGCGGTGGCGGGGTCGTTGCCGCAACGACGGAGGATGGGGAGGAGGAGGAGGCTGCGCACATCACGAGGCTGGACAGCTACGTGGAGCTTCTGTACGAGGACGTCGCGGGGAAGGTGCGCGGCACGGCCCTCATCATGCGCCTCGCACGCAACCCGGACAACCTCGAGGAACTCATGTCCAACGGTGAGCAACACCACGCAATGTCTGGCAATGTCGCACAACGTTGGGGTAACATCGCGCAAACGTCGGGCAATGTTGGTGGTAACATTGCGCAACGTTGGGGGTAAAGTCGGGCAACGTTGGGGTGTAAAGTTGGGCAACGTTGGTCGGTAAAGTTGCAACGATGATGAGATATCGTAAAAAATCGTGCTGTCATTAATAGTAATAACGCGATAACATTCGTAATCTTCCTAACTCTAACCTTAACCCTAACCCTAACACTAACCCTAACCCTAACCGTAACCCTAATACTAACCCTAACCCTAACCGTAATCCCTAACCCTGATCCTAACCTTAACCATAACTCTAACCCTAACCCTAACCCTAACCCTAACCCTAACCCTAACCCTAACCCTACCCCTAACTCTAACCCTATAGCTCCAATTCCAACCCTAACACTAACCCTAGCCCTAACACTAACCCTAGCCCCAACCCCAACCCTAACCCTAACCCTAACCGTAATCCCTAACCCTAACTATAATCCCTAATCCCTAATCCTAACCCTAACCCCAACCCCAACTTTAACCTCAACCACCAACCACCAAAAACCCATAAACCACACAACAACAAACAACAACAACAACAAAGGAAAAACCGTTTTTCTCGTCATTGCAGAGACGATCCTGGGGGCACTGGCACGGGTGCTGCGCGAGGACTGGAAGAAGAGCACCGAACTCGCGACGAACATCATCTACACGTTCTTCTGTTTCTCGCATTACTCGCAGTTCCACAACGTGATCGCGCACTTCAAGGTCGGCGCGATGTGCGTGGCGGCGATCGAACACGAGCTGAAGAGACACGATCTGTGGCGCGACGAGCTGCTCAAGAAGAGGAGCTAGATATCTCTAACAGCTGTAGCTGGGGAGGAGGGGAGGAAGAGGAGGAGGGTAGAAAGGAGTAAGGAAGAGGGGAGGAGGAGAAGGGAGACAAGGTGGTAGCAAGGAAGGAGGAGAAAAGAGGAGGAGGCGAGGGAGAAGGAGAGGGAGAAGCAGGGTAGACTGGGAAAGGAGGAGGAGGAGGTGAAGAAGGAGGTGGAGGATGGGGAGTAGGAGCGATGTGCGTGGAGGCGATCGAACACGAGCTGAAGAGACACGACCTGTGGCGCGACGAGCTGCTCACGAAGAGGAAGCTAGATATCCTCTACCAGCGTGTAGCTGGGGAGGAGGGGAGGAAGAGGAAGAGGGGTAGAAGGAAGAAGGAGGAGGGGGAGGTGAGGCGAGATCAAGGTGAGAAAGAGGAAGGAGTAGAGGCGATGGAGAAGGAGGAGGGGAGGAAGGTGGGGTAGACAGGAAAGAGGAGGGAGGAGGGGGAGGAAGAGGCGATGTTGTGTGGCGGCGGATCGAACACGAGCTGAAGAGACCACTACCTGTGGCGAGACGAGCTGCTCAAGAAGAGGAAGCTAGATATCCTCTAACAGCTGTAGCTGGGGAGGAGGGGAGGAAGAGGAGGAGGGGTAGAAGGAGAAGGAAGAGGGGGAGTAAGGGACAAGGTGGGAGAAGGAGGTGGAGAAAGAGGAGGAGGAGGGGGAATTAAAGGAGGCGAGGAAGAAAGGAGGAGGGGAGGAAGGTGGGGTAGACGGGAAAGGAGGAGGGAGGAGGTGAAGAAGGAGGTGGAGGAGGGGGAGTAGGAGCGTATGTCGTGAGGCGATCGAACACGAGCCTGAAGACGACACAACGCTGTGGGCGCACGACGAGCTGCCTCAAGAAGAGGAAGCTAGATATCCTCTACAGCTGCAGCTGTAGGCTGGGGAGGAGGGAGGAAAAGAGGAGGGGAGGAAGGGGAGGTGAAAGAGAAAGAGGAGGAGGGGAGGAGGAAGGTGAGAGAAGAAAGAGAAGAAGAAGGAGGAGGAGGGAAGAAGAAGGGGGATGAAGGGGTGAACGAGGAGGAGGAGGAGGAGGAGGAGGAAGTGCACCCTGCTGCTGTCCTTGACTGCCTACTATTTGATATCGATATGTTCATATCAATATTCCTATCCGATATTATATATCAATTATTCCATATCAATATTCTGCATCATATAATTTCGTATCTAATTGTTCGCACGATTTCGTATGCGTGTGTGTGTGTGTCGTATCGAAGTTCAACTTGTCCTTGACTGCTGTGCACACAGAGGGCGATAATCACGTTCGCGAGGAAGGAGGTACGATCACAGCCTGAAAGAAGTACCCAGTGTCTCGTCACAAAGCAAGAGCTAGCTGCTGAAGAGGCTAGGTAGA